CGGAGTCTTCGAATATTGTGTCCGAAGTGCCACGGCGACGAAGGCTGCCCCTGGTCTTTTTGGCCTCCTTCTCAGCCTTCTTCTTCGGCGCCTTGTAAGGTGCCGGGACTAGCATCTTTGTCAGAAGTGGGCCGGCCGGTTCTTCTGGCAGTCGGGCCGGATAGTAGATCCGCCCTGCCTTCTTCGTCCAGCCCTATAAGAAAACACATCAAGCATTTCCCTCGGGTTATGCGAATAAAACGTATGAATTGCCAACATACAATGACTTACCGAACTTGCAGGGTGGGACAGTTGGTACCCGCGGTCCTCGGCGGAGTCCGGCCACGATTTGCCGGACTTAAAGAGCACCTTCCAAATGTCCTTGTGCGAGGAGCCAAAGAGCTCTAGCAGGGTCTGGTGCTTGGCCGGGTCGAATTCCCATAAATTGCAAGCCCTGTGTTGGCAAGGAAGAATCCGGCGAACTAACATCACCTGGACTACATTGACAAGTTTGATATTCTTGTCTTCCATATCCTTGACGCGCGTCTGAAGCACCAACAGTTCGTCGGACGAAGACCAGTTCAGACCCTTTTTGGGCCAGGACATAAGCCGCAGGGGGGCTCCGGATCCGAATTCGAGAGTAGCGGCCCATTCCGTGCCGCGCGGCTCAGTGATGTAAAACCACTGCTGCTGCCACTCTTTGAAGGAATCGTTGAAAGTACCTGTTGGCCATGTGACGTTGGGCATCTTGCTCACCATGGCGCCTCCTCACTCAGCATGCTCGCCGCTCACTACCTTGGGCTTCACATTATCTTCAGCCATAAGCCAAAGTGTGGTGAGATGCGGAGAAAGGCCTCGCACACGACGATGAACGTCGAGATGTTGAGGAAGGAATTGGGGGATAGATCATGAAAATCGATCCCGTAATAATACATGATGCTGCAAACGAATGGGTGGAGGGGAAACCCTAGCCCACAGACAAAATGAGGGAGGAATACAACCTCTTGGGGGGTTCCGGAGTAGGGACGATCTATCCCGCCGTCGGAAGACGGTGGCTGATTTTCTTGGCCAGATACCCGGCCTCCCGAAGCTTTTTGATATCCTTCTCCCGGACGGTGGAGGCCATCCACTTGCCTCGTGCTCTGGATCCGGACATTTTTGGAGGGCCTTTGTGGGCGGAGAAGACGAACGCTTGGGCGCTGGAGCTCGAGCGAAAGGGGGAATGGATAAACAGAGTGATAGGAAGGCGTAGGTGAAAAGGGGAGCCCTTATCTCCTTATAAAGGCAGCAGGGATCCTGCGCCTCCCCACTTGCCCGGTAAACTCGCTTATTCCCCAAGCGCCGCGATTGATGGCGTGGTTGGGTTACCCACACCCGTATTGATGAGAATCCCGTGATAAGGGGATATGATCTCTGCTTCGACAAGACGTGCCAATAAAACCGCCTCGCGATACGTGCGGTAGAAGGTTGAGAAAAACGGTTCGCATAATGACCGGGCCGCAGCGTGATGTCACGCTATGAAAAGTTGTTAGCAGATTAGATTTGTGGAGTATTGTGCTCTCTACGGTGGTATGTGGAAATTGTTTTGCAGAGCCGGACACAATCCTTGTGTTCAAGATCTTCTATGGAGTATTCGGAGAAGGAACCCGCCTTGCAATGCCGAAGACAATCTGCGCGCCATACTCATCGTCATTGAAGCCTGGTTCAGGGGCTACTGAGGGAGTCCTGGATTAGGGGGTCCTCGGACAGCTGGACTGTATACTTTGGCCGGACTGTTGGACTATGAAGATACAAGATTAAAGACTTCGTCCCGTGTCCGGGTGGGACTCTCTTTTGCATGGAAGGCAAGCTTGGCAATTCGGATATGTAGATCTCCTTCTCTGTAACCGACTCTGTGTAACCCTAGCCCCCTCCGGTGTCTATATAAACCGGAGGGTTTAGTCCGTAGGACGAGAACAATCATAATCATAGGCTAGCTTCTAGGGTTTAGCCTCTACGATCTCGTGGTAGATCAACTCTTGTAATACTCATATCATCAAGATCAATCAAGCAGGAAGTAGGGTATTACCTCCATCGAGAGGGCCCGAACCTGGGTAAACATTGTGTCCCCCGCCTCCTGTTACCATTAGCCTTAGACGCACAGTTCGAGACCCCCTACCCGAGATCCGCCGGCTTTGACACCGACATTGGTGCTTTCATTGAGAGTTCCACTGTGTTGTCATGATAAGGCTTGATGGCTCCTTCAATCCTCTGCAACGATGCAATCTAGGGTGAGGTATTCCTCCTTGGTTAGGTCTTCGTGTTCGGCGGCTTCGTATTGCGGGCCAACTTGCTTGGCCATCTGGAGCAGATTGATAGCTACGCCCCTGGTGGACTCTACGTATTTAGCCTCTACGATCTTGTGGTAGATCAACTCTTGTAATACTTATATCATCAAGATCAATCAAGCAGGAAGTAGGGTATTACCTCCATTGAGAGGGCCCGAACCTGGGTAAACATTGTGTCCCCCGCCTCTTGTTACCATTAACCTTAGACGCACAGTTTGGGACCCCCTACCAGAGATCCGCCAGTTTTGACACCGATAGAGGGGGCGGCGCCCCCTTTCCCTCTCCATCTCCCACTCCTTCCTTTTCCCTCCGGTCAAAGAAAGGAAAGGGGGGGGGGCGAATCCTACTAGGAATGGAGTCTTAGTAGGACTCCCCCATGGCGCGACCCTCCTGGCCGCCGGCCTCCTCATCCCCTCCTTTATATATGGGGGCTGGGGGGGCACCCCAAAGGCACATCAATTGTTCTCTTAGCCATGTGCGGTGCCCCCTCCACAGTTTACACCTCCGGTCATAGCATTGTAGTGCTTAGGCGAAGCCGTGCGCAGATCACATCGCCATCACCGTCATCACGCCGTTGTGCTGACGAAACTCTCCCTCAACCCTCTGCTGGATCAACAGTTTGAGGGGCGTCATCGAGCTGAACGTATTCTGAACTCGGAGGTGTCGTACGTTCAGTACTAGATCGGTTGGATCGTGAAGACGTTCGACTACATCAACCGCGTTAACCTAACGCTTCTGCTTTCAGTCTACGAGGGTACGTGGACACACTCTCCCCCTCTCGTTGCTATGCATCTCCTAGATAGATCTTGCGTGAGCGTAGGAAATTTTTGAAATTGCATGCTACGTTTCCCAACACATGACAGCTCCAAGGTGACGGTCATGGCAGCAATTGGTGTAGGCGGTTCCAACAAAAACCGTCGCTGGTTGCAACACTGAGCGGCCATCTGTGGTGACGGCCATGGCAGCTCCAAGGTGACGACCGTGGCAGCAATTGGTGTGGTCTCTGCCCTCGAAGCTAACTGTGGTGATAGCGATGGAAGCCCTGATGGTGGCATGTTGCAGCACTGAGCGGAGGGTTTGGAGAGGGACAGGGGTGGGGGAGGGTCGGGGTCGCGCCGCCGGTGGTTCGGGGCATGGGATCGGAGCTATGGCAACGTGCGGCGACGCCGGTTGTGCGGGACAGTACGATGCGGTCGGTGTGAGCACTAACAAGGAAAAGAAAGGGGATAAGGAAGAGAGCGGCGTGTGGTCACCCCATGCCACGTGATATGGCGGGTGGCTACTCACGCGGGCTGTGAAACGCACGATCTAAAGGGATCGGAGGGAGCCCGTGCGACCAGTTGAAGTTTCAGCCGGCGCACCGGCTGAAAACGTTTCCCTTTTCTTTTTTGAGGGTTCCTTGTTCTGTGGTGAAGATGCCCAGATTCGTACTGCTTGGGTTGGGCTGCCCCATTGCACAGCAGACCAGGCCAAATGGGCTCCTTTTCCGGGCTTAGTGGGCCATATTGAAAGCCGATCTCTCTCAGTTGCAATTCTCGTTTTTTCTTAAAAAAACTGCAATCCGCAGAACGGGGCTCCGGAACCGCCTCTCTCCCCGCTCGAGACGCTTCGAGAGACTGCGTGGTAGGGACGGGCTCCGGAACCGCCTGTGTCTCCGGTCGTTCCGTTCCAACCGAGCCGTGACGTAACCGAGCCGGCCTCCTTGCCCCAACTATATAATTCTCTCGCAGCCCCCTCGATTCCAATCGAAAAATCCATCCGCAGAACAGGCGATCGATCTTTAGCTGTTGCGAGTCGCGAACCTCCCCCTTCGTCAAGGTATGCGCCCGCTATCGGTTCCCTGTTCCCCAAGCCGGCTGTTCATGCCGTGAGATTGGTCTAGATCTGCAGTTTCTGTAGATTTGTGTAGATCGATTAATTTGTTTGTAGACCGGTGGATTTACAAAGATCGAGTTATTGTTGGGCACGAGTGGCTGTATTATCTGGGTATATTTATTCTAAGTAGATTTCATGTATCCTGATGGTCCATGTAGAGTTGTTGGTTAGAATTTTTACCGATAGTCTCGCACATGGTCATCCTCACTAAATCTCCGTACTTTCTGCTAATTTGGATTGCCGAAGTACCGATAGCCTTACATTGGAAATAGATCATCGCCGTCCAGTCCATGTCTTTGTCTCTTTATGTACTCATACACACATCTAGACATGGTTGCTCTGCTCATCTTATTTGGAAGTACTAACATTCAACTGCAGATTTACTATTTATCATAAGATTTAGACCATCTCACTCCACGCTTCATGACTCAGTTGATCTCTTCATATAGACATATACCATGTTGAGCTGACTTATTGCTTTGTTGTTTCCAACTATAAAAAACTGCTTCATTTAATCTGGAATTAGACCATAAGAGTTACATTCTTGCCTTCCAGTTCATTATCATTGGTCTTATATATGCTTTCTGTTCATGGTTGCTCTTAGGTTGTTATTTGTTAGACTTGCTATCTATCAGAAATTTAGATGGCCGTAGTCTGTGTTTCATTGCTTTGTTTGTACTGTTTGTATAATTTCTCACTATGCATATTGATTACAGGATTAGATTACCAGAGTCTTCGTCTCACGACTTTGTTTATCTCTTGAATATACGCCTGACTAGCTTACTCATCTTGTTTTATTTGCATTTATGAACTGCGCAGATGCAGATCTTTGTGAAGACCTTGACCGGCAAGACCATCACCCTCGAGGTTGAGTCTTCTGACACAATTGACAATGTGAAGGCCAAGATCCAGGATAAGGAGGGCATTCCACCGGACCAGCAGCGCCTGATCTTTGCAGGCAAACAGCTTGAGGATGGACGCACCCTTGCTGATTACAATATCCAGAAGGAATCCACCTTGCACCTGGTGCTTCGCCTACGTGGTGGCATGCAGATTTTCGTCAAGACCCTTACTGGCAAGACCATCACCCTGGAGGTTGAATCGTCAGACACCATTGACAATGTGAAGGCGAAGATCCAGGACAAGGAGGGTATCCCCCCGGACCAGCAGCGCCTGATCTTCGCTGGTAAGCAGCTTGAGGATGGTCGCACTCTGGCTGATTACAACATTCAGAAGGAGTCTACTCTCCACCTGGTGCTCCGCCTTCGTGGTGGCCAGTGAGTCCTTCGTGCTTTGGAAGTTTGATTTGCAAGTCTGTTGCGTCTGGGGGCTTCTTCCCCTGTTACGATTTACATAGTCCTTATGTTTGTTTTCGCTCAAACTCGTCCTGTGCCATTTGTGAGAACATCTGATGCTGCCTTGTGCAGCTTGATCTCTTCTATGAATAAGTGACCCTGAGTGTTCTTATCCTTGGTAACCCGATCCTCGTTGTGATAATAATTTAACTGTCATTCCAGGTTGCCGTACTAATCAGTTGATCTAGCAAGCCACCAAAACTGAGGGGACTGACACAAGTAAAAGTCAGCAGGTTCAGTGGGCCAGAATTTATCCCAAGAAAAGAAAATGGGATCTTCTTTGTATTCAGATGAATGTGACCTTCGTTGACACAAAGTACCATGTCGTCATATTCCTTTGTGAACTGAGGTGTTTCCTCCTCTAGAAACTTGTCGTTATCCTGCCACATTTTAGTGTTTCCTCCTCCAGAAACAGTTGACCTCCAGAAACAGTTGTGGCTACACGTTCCCCTGATCCTCAACACCAACCACGGGAGCTGAACTTCTACGGCGCAGAATCAAGGCCGGTGTGTTTTGTGCTGCGTGTGGACGTGAAGAATCTGGTTACCATAGATTTTGGGGGTGCCCTCACTCCATGTGCTTCTGGAAGCGACTTGGCTCAATATTGGGAGTCTCGGTGGCGATCCCACCGTACAACTATGATTCCCAGAGCAGGTTAGCTAGTTGGTTGCTGGAATGGTTCGCACAGGCGCCGGAGTTTGACAAGTCTGTAATGGTACAGGCTGTGTACTCCCTTTGGCTTGCTCGCAATGAGGCGAGAGATGGACGGAAGATAGCTGAGCCACATGAAATATCACTATCTGTGGCTGCGTATGTGAGAGAGTGGGAGGAGATCCACAAGAAGGAGGTGAACCCAAGGGCCGCAAGGGGAAGAGAAGCATGGGACCGCCGGAGATGGGCTGGATCAAAGCCAATGCAGATGGATCGGTTTCCAAGCACCGGGAGAAGGGGGGCGCTGGTGTGGTGCTGCGAGATCACACAGGTGCTTTCCGAGCAGCTTCGTGCCATTTCCTGGGACATGTAGCTGACCCGGACAAGGTGGAGCTTCTGGCATGCAAGAAAGCAATCGAGCTGGCAAGTAAAATGGGCGTGTCAAGGCTTCATCTCGAGAGCGACTCCGCAGGGGTGGTTTCGATGCTTAACATGCAGGACATGAACCTCCCCGCCCGGGGGCCGACGGTGGAAAGAATCAAGGCGATGCTGAGACTTTTTGTTTCGTTTAGAGTTTCGTGGGTTCGCTGTTGTGCAAATGCCGCCGCTGATTAGGGATGGCACCCGCCGAGTTTGGGTACGGGTATAGTTAGCCCATACCCTTACCCATCCTCCTTGAGCTTACCCATTACCCATACCCATACCCGTCAACGGGTACAATTTTTTTCCATACCCATCACCCGACAGGGTAAATGGGTACCCACGGGTAGAAATACCCGTGTGCACACATCAACTTGAGCAAAAAATAATCATAATCGACAAGATGTCATTGACCTCTTTTGTTTCATTTCTAGCCAAACTTCAGAAATTATCTTCTATTCGCTTACTTCGTACGTTGACCTCTTCCATCTCCTCCTGTACATCTTAATCATTGAAAAAAACAAAATGATCTCCATCTTCATCCATTGGGGCAGATGTATCATTGGCATATTCACAAGGAACATGTACTTGGCTGCTGAGCTTGTACTACTGCAAAAGGAGCATCAATAACAAAATAGACATCAAATTCATATATATGTAGTCTATTGAATATAATACTTGATTCATAATGAGCACTGAAATTACGATGCTCATATATACATAATACACTACGTACTGAAATCTTGTACTTATATAACATCTCTACATCGAATATCTTCTATATATAGAAAAATCATATTCATCACAATAGCTATATACTGTATACATCTTGTATAAGCAGAAACCAATGATTGTATGCACGAATGCATCACCACGTCCATATAAAAAAAACTACAAGATCAATGCGCTATCCATCGACAAGATCGGGGTTGTCATGCCATGCTCCTGGCCGTGGTGGAGCTGTGGTGGTCGCCTCCCTCAGACTAAATCTGCATGAGGGTGAGCTGCATTTGCTTCTCCCGGTCGCCGTCCTCACACAAGCTGTGGTCCTCATCCGCAAGGTCCATGGTGTCCGAGTGACTGGAGGCGCTAGCAATGGCGAGGCAGTGAGCAGGTGGAGGCGGCGACTAGCGATAGCCGATGGACGAGGAGGCAAGGAGATGAAATGAGACGAGGAGATGAGGAGGATATCTATATAAATATGGGCTGTGATCACACGTATTCATTATTCACCATCACCTAATCACGTTAATCTAGGAGAGAAGGAGAGATTTATGGGATTCGTTCTGCCATTACATGTTTCCTTTCCATGTTTATCATGTAGCTACTGCCAACGTGGGCTACTCATGTAGTCAATGGCTATGGGATTAGACTCATTTTGTGGGAAATTAAATTAAATAAATGAATAGTAAGGGCCCACTTAACATATTTTATGTGGGTCTATGGGTACACGGGTATGGGTTATGACATCCTACACCCGTACCCACTATACCCGATAGGTTTAATATTTTTCTATTTATATACCCATGGGTAATCATTTATCCCATACTCTTACCCTAATATGGTTTTTACCCACCGGGTATGCGGGTAATGGGTACCCATTGCCATCCCTATCGCTGATAGGTTAGCTAAGGTGAGAATGGGTGATGAGCGCTCGCAGGAGTGGCTATCATCTCCACCAGACTGCATTCTTGAGACTGTATCGGATGAAATTCCCGACTTCTTTTAATAAATAAAGCGGCGATAGTTAATTTGAAAAAAAAAACACCAACAGCCGTGCTATATATGCAGTGCGCCTGCAATTGCACTTACTTATACCAGCTGCTTTTCCGAGGAAACTACCCGGCGGCCGGCGATGCCTTTCGAACCTCGTCCGTTCATCGGTGGCGGCGCCGGCATCGATCCCCTGGCCACATCTCCGTGCTGGGCGGCTGCCTCGTCGTCACCTACTCCCTCGGCAATTCGGCCGCGGACGCCACGCACGTCTTCCTCGGCTTTGCGCTCCTGCTCCTGGGTGTCCTCCTGCTCACTCTCGCCCGCTGCGCGCCAGTTCCCTTTGGTTCCCCAGTTCGCCACCTTCGTTGCCAAAGCCGTCCTGAACCGCATTCTCGACCGCGCTGTTGAACTAGTTCGGTTTTAGAAACGGTGATCCGTGATCAACAATATGTCAGTAAGGTCACAAGGATATGTTGATCCTATCATCTGTACGTGAGAATGTAATGTTCCCTTTTCACTCTGTCACCTGATCCCGTCCCGCTGTAGTATATTTTTTCAGATCAAAACGCCATCAGGCACCGTTCTATTTCCATTGAAAATGAAACAGAAGGTAACCATCGTAACAACTTACACTATGGGGATGGTGAGAAGAGATATATTTTACATCCCAGAGGGGCTATAATTGGAGATACTATTGTTTCTGGTACAAAAGTTCCTATATCAATGGGAAATGCCCTATCTTTGAGTGCGGTTTGAACTATTGATTTACGTAATTGGAAGTAACCAATTAGGTTTACGACGAAACCTAGAAATCGATCACTGATCCAATTTGACTACCTCTACGGGATAGACCTCAACAGAAAACTGTTGAGTAACGGCAGCAAGTGATTGAGTTCAGTAGTTCCTCATAGAAAATTATTGGCTCGGCCTGTGGAAGTATCTACAGCCGTATATCACAAATATCACTCCTTGTATGTCCACGGACACGTCCGGGAGTGTCACTCCTTATTTTTTATGAAATATATTGTCCATCTCTCTCCATCAGTTTAGATTTTTGAAGCAACTGGGTGGAGCATGAATTCAATATGATATCCGAGTCAAGAGGCCTTGAGTTCAAGACCTTGTCAACGCAGTATTAAAATAAAAGATAACGAAGCCTACACCGATCCCACGTCTAAGGACTAAGTGAGGAAGCGATGATTTGTCTCCACCTTTGCATCCGAGCGGATGGAGTCCAGGATTGCTTGCTGCTCTGCCGCCTCCTCCACTTGGGCGACTTCGAAGCCAGCAGTCGGAGGGCCGGATCCCCTCGCCGTTGTCCTCTTCATCCTCCTCTCTCCTCCTGTTGCTGCTGCTCCTCTTCTTCCTTCTCCTCCTCCTCCTCCGGCTCCGACGAGCCGCCTAGCCGAATCTCCTCAAGAAGCTCCAACCGCCACTCCGGGGTGAGCATGGCGTATGTGCTGATCGCTGTCAGGCCATGACTACCGACAGACGGCGAGCTTGAGCAGACTAGAAGGTGGTGGCGTGGAGAAAATGTTGAGGGTCGGAATGAGACTGGCTCTGGTTGGGGGTGCCGCCGTCCGTCTTAAATAGCCGGCTTTGTAGTCTCGGGTGGTGTGCCGGAGCGGCGGCCTCGACGGACCACTTTGTTTAGACGTGTGTCCGTGTGGGTCCTTCCCGTCAATGTTGTTCATCGGAGCATCTGGATGCCACACAAAGACATCGACGACGAACTCGAGAATGCTGCTGGAAGAGTCGATGATGGTATCATCTGCACCATGATGATGATAGACGCTCATGGCCCTCAACGGTGGAGGTAATATCCTACTCCTGTGTGGTGTTCTTACTCTTGGCGTAGGTAATACCCTACTCTTGTGTGGTGTTCTTACTTTTAGCGTAGGTTACAATATAAAGAGTCCAACCCTCAGCCCGGTGCCTTCCTCCCGGCTTATACAGAGTGCACTACGAGGGGGTGGGGGGCGTAACGGACTGGTATAAATTCTATTGATGGGCGTATGCACGACCGAATGTATATGGCTATTACTACTTAGTAACTGTCGTATTTAAATAGACATTTTCACCGTAGAGCAATGGTAGCAAGAAATGCATCGCGGGGGTCGCGGTACCCTAGGATGCAACCAACTGTGGGATAACTGACTGCCCCTGCCTGTAAGAACCGACTGTAGACATAGATATGTCAAGGGCTGTAGAATCCGACTGTGGTCATTTGGCGATGATGGTCTCCCATGATCTTTGGTGCCTTGGGCTGTAACGGCCATGGGCTCAGTGGGTCGCCCTCTGGCCCATATCTTTGATGGGCCTGGGCCCTTGGTTTGGCAATATATGAACTTGGGCCTACGCATAGGTATAACCCCGTCAAGAATCAAA